GCGCACGCGCTTGGATATTGAGGTGCGAGTGAGTGCTGTGTTTGCAGACTGCGAGTGAGTGCTGTGTTTGCAGACCGCGAGTGAGTGCTGTGTTTGCAGACTGCGAGTGAGTGGTGTGTTTGCAGACTGCAAGTGAGTGCTGTGTTTGCAGACTGCGAGTGAGTGGTGTGTTTGCAGACTGCAAGTGAGTGCTGTGTTTGCAGACTGCGAGTGAGTGCTGTGTTTGCAGACTGCAAGTGAGTGCTGTGTTTGCAGACTGCGAGTGAGTGGTGTGTTTGTAGACTGCGAGTGAGTGCTGTGTTTGCAGACTGCACTCAGGCAGGTCGGTGACGATGCCAGGTGACGGAGTATTGCAGAGTCCTTCTCACTATCACCATCGTCAGGGGGTCCATTCGTAGGGTTCCTGCTATGCAGTGACAAGGTTAAGGAGCGTCTCCGCAACAACTCCCTGCAGGAAGTGGCTGAGGCGGAATCGATGCGTGGAACAGTGCGTGACCCCTCACCCGGCAGAGACGCCACCAGCAGCACAGCTGAACGAACCCGAAAAACTGGGTTGTGTCGCTTGACCAACTGATGTTGGTAGCGCACCCGCTTTATGAAATGGCCGTAAATACATGCCTGCTCACATGCACCCACTCGCCCCCACCCCTCTCTCTAACTTTGCAAAGCTCCGGCAAAGAGTGCACCTTCCAGCACCACCATAGCTTTGACCCTGGCATGGAGCCTCATCAATGCATGGCTGCTGGTAGGTGTAACTTATGTGTCAATGCACAAATAACTATATTGAACGGACTTTATAAATGTAGTACCTGCACTACCAGGCATACATGCAAAACATTTCAGTGTGTGCTGAAGAAATTCCACTGCTGGGCATACTCATGGTTGATAAATATGGTGGTAAAGACACACCTGGCAATATGGCGGTAAACACACGCCTGCCCACACACGCTCTCTAGGCTGCAAAGTTCTGGCACAGAGCTCTCCTTCTCACCACCACCACCATCAGTTCGCACCATATTTATCAACCATAAGTACAGCTGCAGTGATGTCTTCAATTTCATTCTCCCGAGTCAAGCTCCGTATGAAGACATCCAAGAAGAAGATTGCCTGACGAGTCCAGCGGGGACGAAACGTACGTCGCAATCGAGCTATGCCGTTGCTGTGTCATCATCTATGTGCCATGCGCTACTTGATGTACCAGCCTGCTATGCCGGATACCGCCAGCCACGCATCGACCAGGCGCCAGGCGCGAACTGATGGTGGTGGTGGTGAGAAGGAGAGCTCTGGCACCAGAACTTTGCAGCCTAGAGAGCGTGTGTGGGCAGGCGTGTGTTTACCGCCATATTGCCAGGTGTGTCTTTACCACCATATTCATCAACCATAAGTACAGCTGCAGTAATGTCTTCAATTTCATTCTCCTGGGCATACTCCTTGATTTAAATAGATCTTCAGAGATCAGACACACTCTATCTCTCTCTACCTCATTCTATCTCTCTCCATCTATCTATCTATCTATCTCCATCTCTCTCTCTCTCTCTCTCTCTCTCTCTCTCTCTCTCTCTCTCTCTCTCTATCTATCTATCTATCTATTTCCACTCAGGCCCGAACGTACCTTGCCAGAGTTCTCAAACTGACAAGTCAGTGAGCTCTGCGTATTGCAAACAGCAAAGGCACTACCCCACATGAGAGTGCTCAACTACTACAAGAGCAGGAGCGAAAATACTCAATCTGCGGACAGCATGCTGTTTCGTTCTCAACAGCATGCTGTCCGCAGATTGAGTATTTTCGCTCCTGCTCTTGTAGTAGTTAAGCACTCTCATGTGGGGTAGTGCCTTTGTTGTTTGCATTACGCAGAGCTCACTGACTTGTCAGTTTGAGCACTCTGGCAAGGTACGTTCGGGCCTGATTGGAAATTTTATTTCCATTGCTATCAGGTTCGGCCTCATTTCCTCTGTGCTGCGCTGATGAGTTCACAAAGAACGAAACAGCATGCTGTCCGCAGATTGAGTATTTTCGCTCCTGCTCTTGTAGTAGTTGAGCACTCTCATGTGGGGTAGTGCCTTTGCTGTTTGCATGACGCAGAGCTCACTGACTTGTCAGTTTGAGCACTCTCGCAAGATACGTTCGGGCCTAATTGGAAATTTTTATTTCCATTGCTATCAGGTTCGGCCTCATTTCCACTGTGCTGCGCTGATGAGTTCACAAAGAACGAAACAGCATGCTGTCCGCAGATTGAGTATCTATCTATTTATCTATCTATCTCCATCTCTATCTCTCTATCTCTCTATCTCTCTATCTCTCTATCTCTCTCTCTCTCTCTCTCTCTTTCTTTCTCTTTTCTCTCTCTCTCTCATAATTTTGCGAATCAACCTTTTTTCAGCATCACTTTTCAACGAGGACAAAGCAAAGTCGGCCAAACGAAGCCTAGAGGAAGAAAATCACCCTCTCCACTTCACCATCACGATACTGACATAGGTACGAGACGAAACAACTAAAAAATCCACAAGAAAACTGTATGACCATCTTCGGGCTGACTTTGGTCTGACTTTGGTCTGAGAATGTTCTATCATGATCAAAAGTGTACAAGGAGCACTCAAAAATAAGCTACAGATGTACCTTTATCACTCTCTACTCCTTTTTCAAGACACAAAAGTCGACTGTCCACTTTCAAACCAGGAACCAGACATACCAGTGGTCCTTTTCAGCTGCTCCACGAGCGCAGGTAATGTTCACCAAGGGCCGCAGAGCAGAATCCATTCCAGAAAAAGAGCTAAAATACGAGTGAGACTGCATATCTGAGTACATGCACGAGTACATGCAGAAAATAGTCAATTTCAGCGTCTCTGCTCCAAAAAGCAACTAGCTTCGACTAGCTACAAAGACTACACCAAAGGATCAAACAACAACCATTTTCTTCAGTTTTTTTGGCAGATGGCTTCCTTGTGATTGAGCCAGCACGCCAAAAATCCCACTTGGGAGGAGTACAAAATTACAACTCTCAGATGTCCTCGATTGCTGGCCATGTTTCTTTCTTTCTCCCCCCCCCCCCCCATCTCTCTCTCCCCGTCTTTCTTCCCCTCTCTGTTCTCACTCGGCCACATGGGGTACAACGACAGAAGTACCACAGTCTGTTTCAAGAAGATTAGAAATCAGGTTTGGATCTTAAAAATTATGAAGATAAGGGAAAATTGGACAACAAAACACATAAAAGGGTTTGTTAGGGCACGGCAAATTGTTCTCTGAGGGTTTCGTAACAATTGGACCAGCCGTTAAGGAATTAGAATTTCGGCCAGGCTTCTTACCTTTTCCCATGGTTTACAATTGGAAGACAGTATCAATTTTTTTTAATCAAAACCCACGATTTATCCACTCCTTTTTGGCCTTGTGGTTATGAATGCTGTCTGCTGACCATGATTTTGCGGGTTCAAATCCCAACCTATCTTCAAATCCAACTTTTTTTCACTGTTTTGGTGATCAAGCTGAGAAGGTGGCTGCACCAAACGACTTGTTGTTGGAGCTCGCGCTTCCTGCCGAACTGACAGACACTTGACTGGCTCACGCCATGTGAACACACCCACAACACTGAAATGGTGTGAGTGAATAGAAGTCATTGCGCTGTAGCTAAGTGTTGAAGACACCGACACATCAATGGATCGATTTCTTGTTGAGAATTATTTTTGTATTTCAAGATCGCCAATTTATTTGAATTTAGGACTCAACACCGTCTTCTATCAGCTTTCACAAGCGTCTGCTTTTCTCAAAACAGGGAGGTTTAGTTCCCACGTAACGGAAACGCGTACGTGGGTGATACACGTAAAGTGGATAAAGGGCACCCACGTTGCAATGTGCTGTTTAGTCACACATAATGAAAACTTGTGAAATCGTTGCAGTCTTTTCGATGGAAACGGCATTTATGTGAGCGGGAAAGTTTTGAAAGTTTGAAAATAGATTCGAAGTCGACACCACGACAAAAGTAAATTAGTTGTTTCGGTCAATGGTTCTTGCATGTTCTTGTAGCAACTTTGGATTCTCGTTGTCCCTCTGTGTTTGTCAATCAAGTACATGTCCTCATGGCTCTCGTACCTGTCCTCTGCGAGCAGAGCTATGTCATCTCTAAGCGAAAAACGCACTGTATTCTTCGTTGGGGTTATCTTGGGCGTACTGACCACAACCACATCCTCAACATCAGCCATGACGAAGAAAAGTGAGAGGAAAGATTCAACGACTGCACAAAGCTACAAAAATTGTAAGCAGGGCGAAAGTGAAACTCGCCCACGTAACAAACAAACAAAAAAGTCGTTCCACACTTGGTTTTATTTCGGGTGATCTAAATCCGCTACATTTGAGCACACTCACAACCAGCGCAATGTGCTGCACTTTCATTTTCACTCGCGTTCTGGCCGAACGTTGGTGAGCCTCCATACACGGCATATCGTGAATCAGAAGACGTCTGTACGTGGGTCACTGAGTATCACGTGGTACACCCACGTAAAGTACACACAGATTGCGTGGGACTAAACCTCCCTATTGTCGTCGAGTCACACGGATGGCTTTCCCAAGTCATGCCCTCGAGAATGAGTGCGTACCCATATATTTTTCGTCACATGGTGAGAGTAAAATTGCATCGCAGCTCAAAGAAACTATTTGGTCACGAAACGATTTGGGACCCTTGCCGCGCTTCGACATTCGACATGTCCTCTCCGAGTCCATATCGATACGATACGAGGAAGAACGTTTGTTGTAAACCAGACATAACATGCTGACGTGAGTGAGTTGTCATTTTTCATGCTTTCGCGCAGAATATTTCTTCGAGTTCACGCTCACAGCGAGTTTTCCAGGCAGCTCATACGGTAAGACTGCAAACTCCTCGGGCGATCGCCAGGATTGCTAATCTTTTTGAAACTGATTTGTGAGCTAAAGAGCGTGCAACCTATCCGTCTATACTGATAGTTACCATAACTATTATTAAACCGGACTAGAATGGCACAGGTGAGACTTACCTTTTATCCCGGTTTACGATCCGTATAAACGCTTGCTCCGGGAAAGGTCTTCAGAGAACGTTGAGTGTTGGAGTAAGCACCCACCAGCTGGTCTACTTGACCAGAACCGTTCTAGGTTAGAGTTGCTGAGCGGAAACAGGTAATGAGACTTGTCTAAAGATAGCACCTCCTGTTCGATTGTTCTTTCGAGAGTGAGCTTCCTGCGCGCGAGCTAGCTGGAGTTTGCTTTTCTTTCTTGCTTCTGCCTACACTGCAGGTCATTCCGTGAACCGTTTAACCTTTAGATGTTCATTAAATAGAGCCTGTAGCCATAATGGCGTACACATTTTCGGTACGCATAATCCATAATGAGTGCAGTGTATCACTTCCCTAGATACTGTGTTGATCCCTAGCATGGTAGCAGGTACTGTAGGTGTCACACGCATGCACTTGTCACGTGCACGTGCATACATCTACACACCGTAAGGATCTTTATTTGTACGGTGTCCGTCATGGGGAGATTCGGAAAGGGGGAGGGGGGAGGGTCGGATGGGAGCCGGGAGGGGGACCTGTTACTTCTTCCCGTACATGGGAAGAACATTAGTTCCTTCGCGGTCACCGATAAGGGAGCCATACCGGCATACGTATAGATACGTAAGTGTAGGGCTCCCGGAACTGATCCTTTGTAATTGTAATCTTTTAAGGATTCCCCAAAGGCTTTCGCCTATATATCTCGAGGGGGGTTCCAAACTTTCCATAATACCAAATCTGAAAAAGAAGTGATGAGCAATAGGTGAGCAAAGAAAGAGAAAAAGACATAGTCTATGACAGAGCTCTGCGCTTGAGCATTATTATCCCCTCCTCATTACTTGCGGAATATTACTATTATTACCGGTAAATTAGTCAGTGTCGCTCACATGTACATTGTATACATGGAGGCGGCATCGCCTGTTTGTTTTGCAACTTTAACATTTAATACTCAACAACAACAACAACAATGCTCTCACACCGTTGTCACACACTTCCCTTGACAGGCTAGAACGACTCCGGAAAACCGCCAGAATATGTCTCCACCTTCCCCTTTAAACACACTTAGAACACTCCCACCTTTTGCATCGCGTCGATCAAATGGCCAACATTATTTTCACGCTGTCTGAAGCCTTTCCATACTGCACTGGTACTCGATGTTCCAGTTTTGTGACACGAGAATGGCACGAGAATTAGTGTACCGCTGAGTGTACCGCTATACACTTGGTCGACACTTTGTCGACACGTTGTTGATACTTTGTTGACAAGTGACCCCGTCAGCGGTCTAATTATTTGTGCCAAGGAGAACTGCAGAAGTCGACGAAGTCGAACGAGGAGGCCCCTTTCCGTACCCCGTACCGCAAAGTGCCATTGATGAATGTCTTCTGCACCTAAAAAACGCTGCCGCGTAGGCGGACTGAATGCGCAGGGCTGCAAAGACGTCCGCTCTAGGCCTTTTGAGACATGGTGTGATCTTTCCTACAAATCAATGTCCAGTGTGCAGCACTGCATGGCAACTTCTCCTAATAGTCCAGCGGCCCAAACTTCAAAAAAAATTTCCGTTTCAGTCTCAAGCAGACAACCTGGGTTCTTCACTACGGCCTAAAGTATGTATACCTGACCTGGATTCCGCTTGTTGTCATCTTCAGAGTTAGGGCAGAAGCTCAGGAGAAGCCAATTTCTCCGCTCTCGTCGGCGATACTGCGCACCATCTGGGGGTGCACAGTTCACGGAAAGGAGCGCCTTTTTCAAATTTTTGAAGATGACGACGACACCGACAGGATACTCTTTGAAATGTAGAATTGCATTTTCGTTTGGTAGTTGCATAGTAGTTGCGTTTCGCGCTGTTTGAGTGCCTCACAGCATGGTAGACACCTTTTGACATGATGGAGGAAGAGGCCGTGGAGCTTCTTAGGCCTCGTCCTGGGAATGGCGTTGTATCGCGGGAATTTTGCTTGTGCCATTGCGTTCAATGCATCGCAGGAAAAGCAAACCCGATTTACTTTGCAGAGTTGGGAAACTTTGTTTGAAGCTGCTAAATGCAGGCAGGACGAGCTATACCTTCTTGTGCGAGAGCCACTGCACCGAGGAGAGCGTCCGCGGATGGTACCACCGCAAGTGCTACAGTACATACACTAACAAAACGTTGCTGGGTCGGCTGCCACTTGGACGTGGCCATGACTTTTCAAGCCATTCTGAATTGGAGGAGATACATGTATGTGAGGATGGGACACCATGTACCAGCAAAGCGTAGAACAAGGAGAGATGTACAATGATTGAATCCACATCTGCAGACTTGTGCCTCATGACATGTGCATCTAGCAGAGTTGGAGAACAACGCAAGAATTTTGGCTTTCGCTCCAGAATGGCCCAGATTGCGTTGCAGCGGAAATCCACTATCAGCGTCGGAGCATGCTACAGTGCCTTCACCCACCTGGCCACTATGCACCGGCAACGAAGTGGCAGAGGGAGTGACCAGCCGTCGGCCTACGAAACATTTGACAGCCTGGTGCTGTATATACAGTCCGAGTTGAAGTCTGCAAGGGCCTTGCCCCTGAAGCTTCTCACGGATAAGTACAATAACTGCAAACGGCACCAGCTTGCCGACCGGCATCACACTCCGCCTTAGTATCCAACTTTCATGCTGAAAAAGAAGATAATGAGCTACTTGGGGACCAGGTGAGTTCTTGGCATTGTTGAATGTGTAGAAATAATTTGATCATGTTTTATTGTTTGGTCATGACCAAGGAAATCCAAATAACACATACGCTCAACTACAAGATCACATGATTGCATGTACACACCAGATCATGAGTCCAGACTCAACTCATGCACAGCAACTAAAAGCCGCTAAGTTCATTTCACACGCGCGCTCGGGAAACGGCACATGCTGCATGCATAACATAACACGATGCGCTACTATCATGAATGTCTGGGTGGCCAAGGAATGCCACAATGTGTATGTAGACGTGAACACTACAGTGCCTGACATCTACAACATAGGAATGTATTAAATGGAATGCAAGTGTTCATGCTCATGTAATGTGGTAGTCTTCTTTGGTTGAACTACGTTCGTGGCTGTTACACGTATTATTACGACCAGCTTGGCTCTCGCGCTACTTCACACGGTACACATGTAGGTCAGAATAAATCAGGGCTTGTGGTCCGAGTCAGAGTAATGTCCAAAGCTGACGTCAGTATTCTAGGCTGACTTTATGCAAGAAGAGACAGAGTTATAAACTGGTTGTTTTCTAAACACAATTGTATAGCCCGTGATAACGCGGACATGCGAACTTGACTTGTTTAAGGATCGAATTTCATTGGCGTGTTTCATTTGCGTTTTGTGTTTGAACTGTGTGTTTCCTTCAGCAATTGACATGTATGGTAAGTGGCATGGGTATACAGGCGCACTCTTCACGGAGCAACCACTTGTCTGTGTCGTCTGCAAACGGTCCGATGGCCGGTAATACCCAGTCATTGCCGAACAGTCATACTAGTACGCACCTGGCCCGGCTCCAACCATCCCAGTCCAGCCGGTCGCCGCAGATGTCCTGCCCGCATCCACGTCCACTGCGCACCCCAGTGTCCGGCAAGAGAACGGGCCCAATGCCAGGAGTTACGACGGGCCCACTGCCAGGAATTACGATAGGCTCACTGCCAGGAGTTACGATAGGCCCGCTGCGATATCCGCTGGGCTTGTCCCCGCCAATGTCGTGTTGCCCACTCATTTCGGCTTCAAAGGATCCGCTACTCCGCCGCGTCAGGTGAACACCAGTGGATCCGTTTCATCTCTGGGTACTACATCAGCCTCCAATACAGATGTATCGGCTAGTACGGCTTTGACTACAACCTCGGGTGCGAGGCAACCAGTGGTGGCTGCGGTGTCTTCTACAGCGCCATCTCAACCACGGTCGCAGCAGGTTCTTGCTGATCTCTAGCGTGCTATGTGGTGTGTGAGTGTGTGCGCGCACGGACGCGCACACACAATGCCATGTGTTGTGCGGTGTGTGTGTGTGTGCGTGCGTGTGGGGTTTGTGTATGTGTGTGTGCGAGCGCGCGCGCGCACAATGTCATGTGTTGTGCGGTGTGTGTACGTGTGTGCGCGCGCGCGCGCGCGCATGCACACAATGCCATGATGAGGGTGAAGGCAGTTTCGATAGTGGATTGGACTGTAAGTCCGACTGTGAATCGGACAGTGAGTCTGAAAGCTAAGGCTAGTGGACCGCACTATTGAAGTTTTTGAATTGATTTGAATTTGAATTGTACTTTTCAACTCTGCAGCAAATGACAAATACACTACTGCGCTATTATTTACAACATCTTCCATATCGCTCGTTTGCTAAGATCAGCTTATGATCGCTATCACTCTGCCGTTTTCCGGTGTCCTTTGCTTCACTCGTGCTAGCTCTCTTCCGCTGGTGTTGTCGAGATAGTGTCCCAATAAATGAAATCCTCTCATACGAAAGATCCATGTTTGGGGGTGATTTTGGTCGAATTTTACAACAAATCAATCTGTGCCATCTCTAATCACCATCAATAGGAAATGAACGCTCGGCAAAGGGCAACCATGATCTACGAATCATCCAAATACAAGAACAAATTCACATCGACTGCACTAATTTTCAATAAAATATCGTATCACATGCTGCCAATTTCAATCAAGGAGTCGTAAAATAACGACTTCCGTAACGAAACCTAAAATTGGTTCTCCCCAGCTTATGCCCTAGTTCTGGACATGACAACAAGCCGTTTCGACATCCCTAGGACATGGTCTTTCCACCCATGCAAAGCTCAGGTTGTCTGCTTGAGACTGAAACGGGACTTGCAAAACAACGTCCTTTAGATTTGGGCCGCAGGACTATAAGGTTAACATCTGCCCTCTTTGGTACATGTATACCCTTGGCTCTTGGTCATTGGAATGTCTAAGGTGCAACATCCTACATCGTGGGAACTCCTTCCGGCACCCCCGTACCGCAAAGTGCCATTGATGATCGATGAATGTCTTCTGCAAGCGGAACGACCCCGTAAACGCTGTCGCGTCGGCGGGCTGAATGCGCAGGACGAAAAATATTGCTGCAGAGACGTCCGTTCTACAGGCCTTTGGAGACATGGTGCGAACTCCTTCCGGTACCCCCGTACCGCAAAGTGCCATTGATGGATGTCTTCTGCAACTGGAAC